GAATTTTTTTAATTAATTGATAATATATACATTCCATATAGACGCAACTGTTTGAATTTAAAATTTTAATAGTTTAGGGACTCGTTTTTCTCCTTAGAAGTCACGTGTTCGAGCACCGACAGGGGTATGAGCGTTCATAGTTAATTGATTGAGAGTCTTTGAACATATATTGTCTTATATTTACCCCAAATGTATAAAGAAAAAGAAATTCTAAGGAAAATAATCTTTTTCTTTTGCTACTTAAACCACTTAATGAGCTAAAATCATTGTTGTTTTAACTATGGTGAAATGTGGTCATTCACATCAGGTTACTTAATTTAACAATAATTTTTGAATTATTTTATTTGATTAAATTATGTTAATTAACTTCTATTATTAACAAATTAGTTCAGTTAAGTTTGATGGGAAAGTTTACTCACCATGCATCTATGACTAAACATGGTATCTCAAAATCATGGGCGAAACATGCCATGGCTTCCCTAAAATTATAATTTTATATATTAATATATGATAAAAAAATATATTTTTGTTATATTTAATGATAAAATTATAATCTAATCCTTATAAAATTGTAATATTAAATATAATACAATGATAGAATTACATTTTAACTTTCATACAAATTATAATTCAATTGTGACTGTTCAAAATAATTGTTGGTTTTGCCGTGCTCAAAATTAATTACGTTAAAAAAGTCATTTATACACATTAAAACATTTTTTTACAATTAAATTATTTAATAAAATCAGTGTAACTGATCTAATTTATTAATAATAAGTTTTAATGACATAATTTGATGAAATTAAAGATTTATAGTGTTTATGAAAATTAATGTTAAAATCAATAACCTAACATGTAATCAATCACCCAATCAAAAAATATTATTAAAAGCAACGACAAATATAAGAATTTATGTTAGAGGTACAAACTTAAGAAATTTTATTAAAAATTTATGGAATGTGAAACTATAAAAGTTTTAAAAGTGCAAAATTAGATAATCAGTATAATAAGTAATTTTTAGAAAAGGGTAAAATACATAACTAGCCATCAAACTTCTGGGGTAATTATATTTTGATCATTAAACTTTTAAAACTTATAATACATTCACTAAAATTTTAAATCGTTTTCATTACAGTTATTGTCACTAAAAGAAGTTAGCGTGACACATTAAAATCTATTTTAACATTGTTAATGCTATTCATCGTATCACCAGTCTTCCAAATTACTATTCATTCTTTCGATTACCGTGCTAAATTACAACTCACATTTGGACATTCTTTCGATTACCGTCACGGCTAAACATTCTAGTTAACACTTGTAGTAGATGAAAAATGATTTTCTCTGTATTCTAAATGGTGCAGAATATTTATAGGTACTACTCTTTTGAGGGAGGCTTATTCAATATAAAAACTTCATGCTAAACTTTAACCGAATAAAAGAATTCGAAAAAGGAGAAACCCAAATATAAAATGATGCTTCAAATATGACACCTCTGTTACAAATCAGATTGGCGCAATAACATTACCTCTGTTACGAATCAACACCGAATGGGCACCTAAGATCTTCAATAGCTCTGTAACATAATTTACAATAACATTGCAGACAACTATAATCTAATTTCTGTCGACTTTGAAGTTGTACAAGCATCTATCAGAATTTTATGAAGTTGTCCACAGAAATTGAGAATAAATTCACAAGCTTACTTTTCAGTATTATTGCATGATATATGTCCATGACATTCAACATCACCATTTTTCTTTAAATCTTTTCCTACTTTCATCTTAGGCATGGATTCTTGTTGATCCTTCCACTTGGAACTAAATGCAGCCCTTGTAGTAATGTGGTTGATTAACGATGACAACCTTCGACTGCGATTTACAGGTTGTTTCCAGACAAGATAATGGACTCAATAATATTATGGCATCTTCCTTATTAATCTGAATTCCTAGGCACACTTACCATTCAAGAACTTCAATGTGCAAAGCTTTCGCAATTGTCTACAAAAGCTTAATGTAGGGGCAAAACCTGATCCTCTTGCAATCATATGGCGTTATTTATACAACAAGAAGTTGATGCCTTTAAGCAAACACAAGGTTGTGCTTCTTCATCTCTTATTTTACTACTTTGAGTGATGAAACCGTAACAGTTGATGCCTTATCGAGTTGTAGATGCATTAATGGATCGCAGGGACGGAGCCAAAATTAAATATTGGCAGAGGCCGAAATATTAGACTATTTAAAAAAATATATAAAGACTTATTAGGTATTTAAACTCGAAATTCAGCATGAACCAAGCGACCTTAGTGATTAAGGTGGTGTTTGTTTTTGCAGAGGTAAAAGGTATGCAGTCTGCGGATCACATCTACAGACATCTGCAGCAGAAGAAGTGAACCAAAAGTCTGCAGTCTGCAAGAAGAAGACTGTTTGTTTTTTAACGTCTGCAGACTGCTAAAATTAACTGAAATATAAAAAAACTGATTTTTTAAACTTAAAGAGTTTGCATACTGAGATTTAAATATTTTTAGTTTTATAATACTGAAATTTAAATAATTTATACAACTACAATAATAATTTTAAAAAAAAAACAAACACCACCTTATTAATTCTATTATAAGTCTCACATAATCACATATATTATTAGTTTTATAAGTTTTATAGAATAAAATTTATAAATAATCATTAAATTATATGATTTTTTTTAAACATTAAATTATCTAAAGTTATATAATAATATTAAAGTTTATTATCATATGGCACAACAACATTAATTATCATTAAACTATTATTAATCAATGAATCATACACCTCTCTCTTTTTAAACATTAATTATCATTAAACTATTATTAAATATGCAATTATGTAATACTTTTAATTTTTTTAAATATATATTCATAATTTATTTTTATAATTATATGATATTTTTAGAAAATATTTTTTAATTTATCAAATTATTTTATGATTATTTTTATTTAATTGTGATTATATTTTAAAATTTTAAAACATAATTTATAATTTTTTTATATTTTAAAATCTTAATTATCAAATAATGAAATCATTTTTATTAAGCACGTGGTTTAATACTTTACATTTCGTATAAAAGTTTAAATATAATTTAAAAATAACAAATCCAAAAATATTATATTTAAACTTAAATCAAAATAATTAAAATAATATAAAATTTTAATATATAAAATATTTATATGATATAAATTAATCTATAATATATATTAAAAATAATATTAAATTTATTTAAAATTTATATTAAAATTAATCTCTATAATATAATATTAAAAAATTAATATTTAATTTATTTAAAAAATTAATATTAAATTAATATATAATATAAAATTAAATATAAAACCTCTTTGAAGAGGTTAGAAGACATCTGCAAACGTAAGACCACGTCTGCACCGCGCAGACCATGCGCAGATATTAGAAGAGCTTCTGTCTTCTAAAAAACAAACGGTCTGCGAAGCCCAATGTCTGCGCGACGCAGACATAAGAGGTTTGAAGAGGTAGAATAGTGAAAACAAACACCACCTAAAGGTCCCGAGTTCAAGCACGTATGTAGGGGTATGAGCGTTCATTGTCAAAATAGTTGAAAGTCTTTGTACATAAATTACCTTGTATTCACCCTAAATTTAAAAAAACTCAAACTCAAACTTAAAAGAAACTTCTATTTGTCTATTTAAACTTACAATGAAAATTGTAATTATACCAAAAATTTGAGAACACGAACTTATCATTCTTTAATTCGACCCTTGATTAAATATTTAATAAATATTTATATTTTTAAATTTAAATATTTATTTTTACATGAACCAAAATACTATTACACCAAAATTATATCAAATATATAAATTTTAACAAGGGCCGATCTCCCTTGGACCCTAAGGGAACTCCGTCCCTGATGGATCGTATTTGTTGGCCAAGTTCTTCAAGCGAGGATGGAGTAGCGAGCCAAACTTTTTTGTGCAAGTTACCAATCAATTGCAGCTAGTAAGGTCCATGAGACAGTTTATGCTTCGGAAGTCTCTTGTATTCTTCCATAACCATCAAAGTGAAAAAGGAAAGGGAAAAGACATGTAAGAGCTCCATCAGGGATTGAGACTTATTGCTTTGAATTTTGGATTTTTCAACTCGCTTGAACAACTTAGCCTAGAAATATAATCCATGAATGTATCTACAAGTAATGAATCCAGGATTCTAATTCAATGGACAAAATATAATTAACTATAAAATTGAGGGTACAAAATCAAAATAAACTAAAATTAGAATCTATAATTTAAAATTTATCCATATATTTTGTAATAAAAAAATAGAGGGCAATGGCCTCTGAATAGCTTTGTCCCTGGTTATTTTGATTTTAAATTAGACAAAAAAATAATATGTAGTTGATTGATGACAGTATGTTGTCATTAATATAAATATGTCAAAATCAATACATACATGAATATATGTTAGAAAATAACATATTTAATGTGGTACTTATATTTTTAAAATGTTTAATATAATACTTCTATTATGCTAAAAAATTTAATATGGTGTCTATAGTGATAGAATATATAATATAATATTTTATATGCGGAGAAGTATCCAATTTGACAAAAAGAAACATTTCTTTTAATTTCATTTTTATTTTTCACAAAATATTATTATATTTATATGAATTTACTGAAAAAAGTATAATATAATTTTTTAGTTGATTTAACACTTACTAATGGTATTAATCTTAAATACCATAATGATTCTGAAAATAGAAATTTCACATAAACAAGAGATGAGATGCTGGATTCATAATATCCAAATCCAAATGCAGGACAGAAAAGAAAAATATGTTGATTCAGCAATCCTGTTGGACTTTACCAGGCAATGCCATCACCCCCTTTTGAATGTAATGCCAATACATGGCGATAAATACAGGAAAAAAACATTTTTGAGTATTATTTGTCTGTTTCATAATTAATTAATGTTTTTAATTGGTTGGGCTAATAGCCCAGTTGCTTTCTGTCAACAGCAGAAATCTAAAGCAAAGTAGAAAAAACATCCTTAGTCTCCTCCCCTGGGTCGTACCAAAGAATCATGGAACTTTGAAAACAATATTCGGTGTATTGAAAAATAGTGGATTTTTGGATCTGCTAATTCAAAGCAAGTCGATTCGTTCACTTATTGCTTGTGAAATAATTTGGTATTTGGATTGATCGCGGTCGTGATCGTGATCGTGATCTCCTTTGTTTGAATTGATTTGCGTTGTTGAAGGAAGAAGAATAAAAGGGTCAAATCGAATTGCCTGTTTGGGAAAGGGAAAATCAGAAGAAATCATGGCGAGAAGCAGAGATAAAGAAGATGCAGAGAAGTACAGTGACTTGCTGAAACTGGTTCAGATTCTCTCGTTTCTGGTGGTTTTCGTCGCCGGGATTATCATCGGATTAGCCACCAGCGCTCACATAAACACCTATTTCTCTTCCCAAGCGCAGCTGTTCTCGACTTCGACGGTCACTTCTTTTCAAGTCTCCAGCAGCAAAGCCAATTGCAGTCAAACCCGGACTCCATGCCCAGAACCGGACTGTCTTTCCAAGGATGTCTTCCTTCATCCAACGAATTTGACTCATAAACTATCGGATGACGAGTTGTTCTGGAGAGCTTCATTGACGCCATACAAAAAAGAGTACCCGTTTCCCAGATTGCCAAAGGTGGCCTTCATGTTTATCACTAGAGGCCCTTTGCCTTTCATGCCTTTGTGGGAGAGGTTCTTTAAGGACCATGATAAGTATTTCTCCATTTATCTCCATACTCCTCCGGATTATCACCTCAATGCCTCCATAGACTCTCCTTTCCATGGGAGACAGATCCCTAGTCAGGTACCATTTCAATATTGATCAAACACTGATTCATGTTAGATTTGAGCTTTTTTCTGTTTTTTGTACTAACCGTGACATTGGCTAATGGTTGCTTGAAATTTTTGGTAAACATTTTCTGTTCAAAAAACTCTAGCTCTGCTTCATTGAAACTTAGGAAAATGGTCATTTTGTAAATATGAAACTTGGATGCAACTCGGTTCGATATGCTATTTACCTTGTAGATACAATTCAATATTGTTAGAGAACCACAAAGGTATAGGAGATTCAGTTATTGTTGTTAGTAAGAGGTAAGTTGTTTGGGATGAGATGGAGTTTTGATGCTTTTTGGAGTTTGTTGAACTGTAAGCAATGGTTAAATGCCATGCACGATAAAGGTTGAAAGAGTTGTAAGAATTATAAAGCCATTCACATATTCTATGAGGTGTTTGTATTTTTTAGAAGTATTGCAATATACATGTGCTATTCCTTTCCTAGATTTTCGAAGTAGAAGATTTAGGAAGGATTATTTCGATATTATATTCAGATGAATCTGTTTGTTTATTACAAATCCTCCAGAGCCATTTTAAGAGTTTGGATGCTGAAATCTGCTGTGGAATCTGTTGTAAACACTTCATGGTCTTGTCATATGTATAAATAACGAGTTTTGTCTCTCTTCCACCGCTATCCATAAAGAGTTTTTAGATCTCAAGACTTCCAAGTTCAAACCTTCTAGCATAAAGTTCTATCAAATTCTTTAAACCTTTGTCATGAAACAATAAAAATCCTTTTTATTCTTGATGTTCATGGCATTTCATGTTTTTTTTTAAACTTCACTCTCCTATTTTCTAGTCCATTCCCTTTTGTTATTTTATCTTATATCCTTCTCAGCTCAACCCTATTACATCCTTTCATTGCTGAAGCGCATCTTTCTTAATTGCGTTAGCCACGGTGATGCATAAGAAAAGAGTGAAAATCAATGTAGAAATAGCTTTCCTCCCAGAAGGTCATTAAGGAAGGTATAAATAGCTTTGCCGAGCATTACCTGCTCTGACAACTGACATATGACATGAGTGCCTCTTAACCTTCTGTTTTTCTCTTCTTTGGTCCACTTTCTTCAGTTCGACTGCCTCTGTTTTTTCCACGTCTTCGTTTTTTTTAACTACTGATTTTGCCATATTCTTGCTAAGTCATGTTTTTTGTTTCCTCTAGTAGTAGTAGTAGAGAGAGAGAGAGAGATAAGTGGGAAATTCTGCTTTTAGGTCATAACAAATCATTGGTTAAATTGGTTTAATCACTTGGGACGAGTAAAACCACATTTAGGATGAATGTTATTTCTGAATTACATTAACTTGCCATTTGTGATCAGGTATATACATGTATTTGTTTATTTATTTCATGTGTCTATTTTCTTTTTTTCAGCGTGTGGAATGGGGGACTGTTTCACTGGCTGATGCAGAGAGGCGGCTACTAGCCAATGCACTGCTTGATTTCTCAAACGAGCGATTTGTTCTTCTCTCTGAGAGCTGCATTCCAGTCTATAACTTCCCAACTGTCTACAAGTATCTCATCGGTTCTAGCTACAGTTTTGTTGAGTCATACGATGATCCCACCCGCTATGGTCGTGGTCGGTACAACCGCAGGATGCTTCCCCACATTAAGCTCTACCAATGGCGAAAAGGATCACAATGGTTTGAGATGCAACGTTCAGTTGCCACGTACATTGTCTCAGACACCAAATACTACAACCTTTTCAAGAAGTATTGTAAGCCTGCTTGCTATCCAGATGAGCATTACATTCCAACTTTCTTGAATATGTTCCATGGATCAATGAATGCAAATCGGACTGTGACTTGGGTCGATTGGTCAATGGGGGGCCCTCATCCAGCAATGCACGAGGGAGTTAATGTCACGGAGGGTTTTATACAAGCCATAAGGAATAACGGGACACTTTGTGCATATAACGACAAGCTAACATCTGTGTGTTATCTCTTTGCACGAAAGTTTGCTCCTAGTGCATTGGAGCCTTTGCTCAACCTCAGCTCAACTGTGATGAACTTTTGAGAGATTAATCAGGCAATGGTTGAGATTCTCCCTCCCCCTCCCCCTTCATTTTTACAGGTTCTATCCTAGTCATCCAATTTTGATCACTAACTTTGGTTCATATGTACAGATAGGTTCAACCACAATTGTTATGTTGCAAAATTTTGGAGGAAAATAGATCAGCTTTTTTTGTTATTGTAGAAATGATTATTGTCCCCACGATTATAAAATGATTCTGCATTGTTGTTAATTGCAAACAAAATTACAATATCCCAATGTGTTGTTTCCCTTGAAAATATGCCTTCCTTCCTGGATGTCTGGTTTGAGAGCCCCCATTGACATGTCTGAGATTGAAGCATAATCATAAAGCAGTAATGTCAACAAATGTTTCTAACCATAAACCATAAATCTTGAAAATCATCTTACAAGCAGCAGTACAAAATCCAACTGAAATTACATATTCTTGTGGAAATTTTAATGTTTCGAGCTTTTCCAAGGTGAATCGTTTAAATCATTTGAGAAGAGACCACTTGAACCATGCAATAATCTAGTTTGCAAAATCTCAAAATTGCAAGGTTCCAGTGTACAAGCATCTCGTCTGGGAGGTTTCTTCGATCTCTGTTGTCCTTTCACACTATCTTGATGATTTGAGGGTAAAATGTGCAGAAACTTGTTAAGTGGTTAAGTCTACTTGAAACCAGAACCAGATGCAGCGGAGTTTTTCAAAGCCTCTGGGACAAACACAGGAAGTTGGTTTGAGACCGAGTCCCTTTTGAATCTAGATCTCGAGGCAAGTTCAGACCTCCATTTCTTGAGCTTCCCTTGAACCTAACCCTTACATTTCTCAATTATCTCTAACCGGAACACTCAAAAGTGGGCCACCAAAGAAAATAGAGTCTCCGTTACAATAGCTTCTCCGTTTGTTGTGCCGGACCCCTTGCTGCCAAAGATGACTCCTGCGGTGGAAAAACTGCCCTTCTACCTGGGTGCTAGTTTCTCCACTAGAATTTGGCAAGCCTATTTGCATGGATGATCTATTCCGGCATCAGTTGCAGTGATGGGGACAGATACATACTACCAGCTTCTTGATCCCATAC